AGGGTTAGGGCGCGGCTAGGGTTTTGGGGCGGCTGGGCCTTCGGGCTGGCTTGCCCCGGCTTATAAAGGCCCCGGCCAGGCGGAGTCCTGGCCGAGTACGGCCCATAGTCGGTTCCGTTTTTTTTAAATAATTACGCTCGGAAGAAAAAAAATACTAAACGGACTCCAAAAATCCCGAAATAAATTTTCCCGGGCTTCTAAAATCAAGCCCGACAAAGCGAACATTTATTTGGGCCCTAACTGCAATTTTGAAAAACGCACATTTTTCCTAATTCAAATAAAAACAACAAAAAAACTCCGAAATAAAACTATTTGATTTTTTTATTAAATCCTCATTTTATTCCCTCTCTCATATTTTTGTAATAGGAATAATTAATGATAAAATAAATAAAATCGAATGATCCTATTCTCAAAATTTGAGAAAAACTCAAATATGAAAATAATGAAATCCCCAACTCTCTCCGTGGGTCCTTGAGTTGCTTAGAATTTTCTAGGATCAAAACCTAAAGAAAATAAAATATGATATGCATGATGATCTAATGTATAACATTCCAAATTGAAAATTTGGGATGTTACATGATCCAATCCACGCGTCAGCTGGTCGAGGTGTAGCACGCGTCATATTCTAAGCATATATATATATATATGAAACAAATACTAATTCATTGCAAAAACAAATCCACTCAAAAAATATCAACATTTTTTTAACATAATAATTTCTCACAGGAAACATGACAAGTTTTTTTGACATGGAAAACATGACAAAGTTTTTTTATGATAGCAAACATGAAAAGGTTAACAAGGGATGCTTATGTGTGACGTACATAGCAGAGGATGGCATTGGCTGGTGGATAGTATTCAAGCGATAGCAACACTAGGCTGATGATGCAAAGCAGCAGCAGGAACACATAGCAAGCACACACGAGAAAAATAGCGGGAGTATGGAACCATAGCCCATGTAAGCGCACATGGTTTGCTCGCAAAGCGACTTACATGAGCGCAGCTTCAACCGGTTGATTACAAACAATTTCCCATGCTAAATGGGTTGAATTCACTGGGACTTTCCCATAATTAAACACAATAAGGGTAAATAAAATGTTATTGTTGATGCATTGTCTTGTCACTATACTATGCTTTCATAGCTTGACTTGAAAATATTTGGTTTGGAGACCATCAAAGATCAATATGTGCATGATGCTAAGTTTAAATATGTAATGCAACATTATAAATAAGGAAGACATGGAACAAATTCATCATTAATAATGGGTTTCTGTTTCGTGCTAACAAGCTATGCTTAGGGTTATTTTAAAGAATATATTAAAAATGCGGGAAGAATACTTGTCTCATATTGAATTTGCTTATAATCGTTCACTACATTCTACCACTAAGATATGCCCTTTTGTAATTGTGTATGGTTTCCTACCTCATGCACCCATTGATTGGTGCCTCTTTCATCTTCAGAGAAGATTATGTTGAATTGATATTTAAAAATCATGAGTTAACTAAGGAAAACATTGAGCGTTTGAATGCTAATTACAAACTAGCTGGAGATAAGGGTAGAAAACATGTTGTCTTTGCAGCTGAAGATCTTATCTGGTTACATTTACACAAAGATAGGTCTTCTTATTTGCGCAAGTCTAAGTTAATGTCACATGTTGATGGTCCTTTTAAGGTGTTGGAGAAAATAAATGATAATGCATATAAATTTGAGTTCAAATTTTCGGTCAGTCCCACACATATCAAATTAGAAGCCTTATTTGGGAGAAGATGATGACGTTCCATTGAGAACGACTTCAATTCAAGAAGGGGAGGATGATGGGGACATCCCTACCACTATTACACCCATAGCCTCAATTTCTACATAGATTGGACCAGTTACTACCGCTCGCGCACGTCAACTAAATTATCACATACTTACATTTTCTTGGAAATATTCTGATGTTCATGAGAGTATTTTTTTGAGGGTGAAGTTCATGAGAGTATGAAGCTGCCTAAATCAGATATGTTTGTGTTAATTAGGAATGAAGGGCCTAGCATGGAGAAGAAGGATGAACATTGAAGCATGATCAAAGCATGGAGAACAAGGCAGGCACATAGGGGATGCCAAGGGCATTCCGGGTGAAGATTCTACAACACTGAGGCTATCGTCATGATGCAAGGAGGCATGGACGAAATATACAAAGACCATACTTCCTATTTTCGCCCATAGACATATATAGGTGCCGTGCCACCTCACTTTTGGGCTAGACCCATGTAATTTCAAAATACCAGATGATACATCCATTTTGCATCATGTTTTGTCACTATTATTTATGATGTTTTTGGTCATTATTCCACTTTATGATGCAATTATAATGCCTTTTCTCTCTTAATTTGCAAGATTTACATGGAGAGGGAAATTACTGGCAGCTGGAATTCTGGACTTAAAAGAGCTATAACAGAGATAGCTATTCTACGGAGCTCCAAACAACCAGAAACTTCACACGATTTTTTATTGAATGTATAAAAAATACTGGAGAAAAGAAATACCAAAGGGGGGCCACCAGTTGCCCACAAGCCAACAGGGCGCCCACCCCAAGGGCATTCCCTGATGCCTTGTGGGGCCCACAGCTGGCTTCTGGTGCCCATCTTCTTATATATGAGGGCGTTTACCCTAGAAAAAAATAGAAGAAGACTTTGGGGATGAAGCACCACTGTCTCGAGGCGGTATCTGGGCAGGAGCACTTTTGGTCTCCGACGGAGCGCTGCCGAAGAAACTTCCCTCCAGGAGGGGGAAATCGAAGCCATCGACATCACCAACGATCCTCTCATAATGGGAGGACCAATCTTCGTCAACATCTTCACCAGCACCATCTCATCTCAAACCCTAGTTCATCTCTTGTATTGAATCTTTGTCCCAAGACCTCAGATTGGTACCTGTGGGTTGCTAGTAGTGTTGATTACATCTTGTAGTTGATGCTAGTTGGTTTATTTGGTGGAATATTAAATGTTCAGACCCTCAAGCATATTCCATACACCTTTGATCTTGAACATGAGTATGATTTGTGAGTAGTTACTTTTGTTCTAGAGGACATGGGAGAAGTCTTGTTATAAGTAATCATGTGAAGTTGGTATTCGTTCGATATTTTGATGATATGTATGTTGTTCTTCCTTTAGTGGTGTCATGTGAATGTCGACTACATGACACTTCACCATACTCGGGCCTAAGGGAAGGCATTGGGGAGTAATAAGTAGATGATGGGTTACGAGTGTGACATAATCTTAAACCCTAGTTTATGCGTTCTTCTATAAGGGGCTGATTTGGATTCATATGTTTCATGCTATGGTTAGATTTATCTTAATCCTTCTTTCATAGTTGCAGATGCTTGCGAGAGGGGGTAATCATAAGAGAGTTGTTTGTTTAAGTAAGAATAGAACCCTAGCATCGGTCCACCCACATATCAAATTATCAAAGTAGCGAATGCGAATCAAGTAAACACTATGAACATGACCAGATGACAATTCCCATGTGTCCTTGAGAACGCTTTGCTTCATATAAGAGAACGTTCCAGCTTGTCCTTTGCTATAAAAAGGATTGGGCCACCTTCCTGCACTTTGTTACTATTGTTACTTGTTACTTGTTATGAATTACCTTGCTACAAATCTATCTGTTACCGCCACTTTCAGTACTTGCAGAGAATACCTTGCTGAAAATTGCTTACCATTGCTTTCTACTCCTCACTGGGTTCGACACTCTTACTTATGGAAAGGACTAAATTGATCCCCTATAATTGTGGGGTCATCACCAGACCACATGTTGTTTTATAGTCCGTATTGACAGGAAAAATGACTTAGGATGGAATTTGCCTCATCTTGCCAAGTGTGTACAAAATTCCACTCTGTCTCAGTATAAATACAACCCTTAGGGCATTGTTTTAGACTTCCGTTTTGTTTAGACAAAAGTTTGCCATAGCCACAACTTGAGTACTTCATTTGTGTCCAACGACCAGGCCGAGATGTTCATGAAATCGCAAACTTTATTAATAAAGCTTTCATCTTAATTCGCAATATCCACATTGCAATCTTAGTACTTTCTTGTTCTTCATTTGCATGCAGGAATTAGATGTTTGTGGTCAAGTTGATCATGCACGACGTCTTCACACGTTAGCAGTCAGATCGTGAAAGTATACTCCACCAAAAAGATAGTTACCCCTCATTGAAAGATCGGGATAAGCCCACTCTATCAAAATTTGTCTTTTTGCTGCAACGAACTTTACTTCTCTATCTTTTAGTTATGCCCCTTCAGATTGTAAATGTTAACCCACGCTCTGACAACGTTTGGCTCACGTCGAGAGGATATCAGCCATGTATGATGGCCTTCATGGAATGTAATGGGGCGGGTGGCTAGTGTTTGTGGGTGCCGGATCCTCTAACTTAGGAAGGACTCTCTAGTTTCATGAACAATGTTCATTTAAATCTTTGAAAAATTGAGTCCAATTTTCAAAGATCCGTTTTAGCTTTTAACATACAAATTTCAATTTTCAAAAGACTCATTTTATTTGTCCAACAATTCCATTTTAATTTCAAAAGGACTCTAACTTGCTTCCCCCCCCCCCTTTTACAAAAGAGCACTGTAGCTTCCTCACTTGCCTCGTGCAAATTACATGATCGGCTTCGTGTTGGTGTTCCATTTCAAAAAAGACAAAAACAATTGATATACGCACCTACTAGTAATAAAAATTCAAGAGGGTTTACAGGTCTGTTTGTTGTGTGCCCAAGAAACTAAGGAAGTTCTTGACAAACTATGAGAGCTCGTTTGCACCCACTCACCTCTAGGGTCCACAACTTGGAAGAATGAACAATCATTTACAACATCAGGAACACTACACCTGCCTGCCTGCTATACTAGGCAATCACACACATATTTTTTCACATGAATTCTTGCCTGCTTCCAGGAGCTGTAGTAGAGGCGATGGTTCTGACAGCACCTGCAAGGCCTGGACCAAAACTTGAAATGAGGATCACACGTTGGCGGGCATGAGCTCCGGTTGCTGCAGCGGCTCGAGGGAGGCGACGATGTCGCGCATGAGCGGCCGCGCCTTGGGGTTGCTACTGAGGCAGTGGTACGCGAGCATGGCCGCCTTCTGCACGAACCTGACGGGGTAGTCGTCAGAGTCGAGCCTTGGGTCTAGGATCCCCAACACCTTCTTCTTGTGCGTCAGCATCGGCAGCGCCCAGTCCGCCAGCGTCTGCTCCCGCACCGGACGCGACTTGTCCAGCGACTTGCGCCCTGTCACCAACTCCAGCAGCACCACCCCATAGCTGTACACGTCGCTCATCACCGTCAGGTGCCCTGATCGCTCACAGTAAAATCAATTTAGCCACCAGACCCGTATGTATGATCGAGCTTAATTTGAGTTTGTAGTCTCTCTGTTTTTGGCATGGCACCTGTCATGATGTACTCTGGGGCGGCATAGCCGTAGGTGCCCATGATGCGGGTGGAGACGTGGGACATGTCGCCGACGGGGCCGTCCTTGGCGAGGCCGAAGTCGGAGAGCTTGGCGTTGAAGTCATGGTCGAGGAGGATGTTGGAGGTCTTGAAATCGCGGTAGATGACGGGCTTCTCGGCCTCATGAAGGAACGCCAGGCCCCTCGCCGCACCGAGCGCGATCTTCATCCTCGTCGCCCACGCCAGGGGCGCCATCACCCCTGAAATGAAAACCCCATGCATCGATCGCACCGGCTCCGAACACGCACGAAACCAAAAGTGTGGAAAATGGAGGTGGTACGCCTACGTACGTGAGAACAGGTGTGACTCCACGCTGCCGAGCGGCATGTACTCGTAGACCAGCACCCGGTGCTCGCCCTCACAACAGTAGCCCGCTAGCTTCACCAGATTCGGGTGTGATAGGTGGCCCAAGAAGATCACCTCCGCCTACATAAACTCAACACAAAAAGGCATAGGAAGATAGATGCTTGTCAGGCTAGCCATGCTACAAAAATCTGCACCTACCACGCTTACAATTACTACATTTATTATGAAAATAAACACTTCGGTCTTATTTGACTTTGCTATTTGTTGGGGGTAATTTTGTGTGTGCGCGTGTGCGTGTATTGGCTATGTGCATCCTAACTAAGTAGAGATCGGATGTATACTCTTATGATTGTATCACTCGGTGCCATATTATGAGTCAATAAAAAAACACTCTTTATTGAAGAAAAAGTAAAGATTTGTGAGAATTTAACTAATGTACATGTCAATTTGTGCAAAAAAAAAAAGTAGGTGTGTCACGATTAGAGGGAGACTGACCAGCCATTCCCTGTGGCCCTGGAAGCTGTTATCCCCGTCGTGCACCTTGACGGCGACCTGCAGGGGCTCGTCTCCGCCGCCGTCCGTACCCACGGCACCCTTGTACACCCTGCCGAAGCCGCCGCCGCCGATTAGCGAGTCCTGCCGGAACCCGTTAGTCACCTTCCGGAGCTCCTCGAAAGAGAAGGCGGTCAGCGGGTTCCGCGCGGCCGAGTCGAGCCGCATGGCCTCCACCTCCCTCGCGTTCGACGGCAGCCTACTCTCATCGCTCCGGTCCCTCTCCGACGGGCTCTGGATCTTGGGAGTCTCTGCACACGTACGTACCACAACTGTCAATACCATCACCACACCAACTGAATTATCTCTCTTTGAAAAATGGATTTTGCTGGAGCTAGTGGTAGTGGGTGATCAAAATTTCAGGAAAGAATCCATTTGCCTAGAATACTGAAACAGAGTGCCCAATCAGGACTTCCGGTCCGGACAAAAAACGAAATCAAATTTCTGAATCTGAGGGCGGTGGATCACACATAACGATCACTTAGAAAGCAGAGCAGCAAGGGAGAGGAGTATTACTCACCTGACTTTGCAGTGGAGACCCTGTTAATGTAGGAACTCCCCCGAAACCAGCAGTTACCCATAAGACACAGTATTTATTCCCCCTATATCTAGCCCTCTCCCCTATTTCTGCCACCAAGAACAGCCCGAGGAAGAAGAAGAAGATGGTACAGAGGTAAAGACTGGAAAAATAGAGAAGGAAGCAGAGCGAGTATCCTGATAAAGGAAGAAGACGATCACTGTATCTATATGCGGGGCTCAAGAGTTGACGAGAGTCCGGACGATCGAACCAGCTTTCGTCCTAAACAAAACAGGGAAAGGGCCAAAGGCCCACGGAGAGAAAAGTTGGTCACAAACGAAAGAGGAATGAACACACACACACACACACAGAGAGAGGAGGAGGAGGATCGGTACTTGGTAGTACTACTTCAGCAAGAGGAGAAAGGAAAGAAACGAAAAGAAAAACAAACAAAAGGGCAGTAGTACGGTTCAAGTGAACCATCACTTTCTCCCCTTTATCATTACCTTTAAATCATGAGAAACCACTAATTAAACGCTAGGCAAAAGCATATAAAATTTGCAATTATGCAAGGCAGTTGGCCTGTTTCTCGTAGCCGGTTACACCAGGAGCATAATTCCTGAGCACGAATCCATGTTTGGTTCGTACAGGCATTTCATTTGCCAATTTCGGTTGAATTGCCAATACAATACAACATCATTGATTATCAATGATACAAGGTGGTGCGGAGCACCCTATGGACATTATCAATTCACCATGGATCATGCACCAAAATGATGCGAAGCATCCTACGGTCATCTCCATGGACTCGTCATCATCATCCCACGCATCAAGCGGACCTATGACAAGAGCACGTGCAAGAGCTATTGAGACTGAGGTGATATCTCTCCTTAATGAACTTTCATTTGAGCCACTTGAGACATGGCTACTATCTCAAGAGGGAATGCTATCTGTGCTTAGGTATCAAAAAGACGACCTCGAAGACACTCAGGACGAATGCCAAGCCACCACGGTAGCGGACAAAAGAACACCTCAAGTGGAGTCACCGAAATACTACAGCGGCTGGACATCTGGCCCTAGCCTAGAAATCCGACGCCTCCAAGTCCAGTGCGAACTCCAAGAACCCGCGCCTGCTAAAGCTACAATGACCGGACATCTGGCGCATCGCGACAGGCTGGACATCCGGCGCCTGCCCGAAAATCCGGCCAGAGGAGTCCAGAACGTTTCTGAATTGGGCAGTCACCTGGCCGGTCATCCAGCGCCCCAAGTCGAGCCGGACATCCCGCATGCCCCCGGACATCCGGCGCCTGCGCGCGCAGAACCGGGCCAAAGACTCATGTAACACTCTCCCTCTCACTTATTGCGTCCTAGATTATAAATAGACCACCCCTTCATCTAGCTAGGGTTAGCAAAGCACTTCTTGTGAGATCTATAGAGCTTTGCTCCTATCTATCACATCTCTCATGGAGATCAAGACCTCCATGTGAGAAGATCCCTAGTGGATATCAAGACCCAATCTAGATCTAGGGAAGATCCTCTAAGGATATCAGGGCCCCCCTCTTCTTGAGATTGGGATGAACTATCTACCTATTTGCCCATCTATGTTCGATTTGGGTCTTGTAACTCATAGGTGTATGTGGATTTAGTGGATGTGTGACTTGAATCTTGTCTTGAGTGTTTTCCTCCTTGTATTTTCCTCTTGATTTCTCTTTTTCCCACCTCCAAGTGTGAAAAGATCAGCCCCACCCCGAGGGTTTCACCCCGTATCATCTTGGATCAGCGCATAGGTTGATTCACATCTTGAAGCCCCACCCCCCCACCCACTTTCTAGCCTAATTTTTTTTGTTTTTGACCTAATTCAAAAATTCCCACGAAAAATAGCCATACCAACAAATTTGTGATTTCTTGGTTTTGATAAGATTTTGTTGATTCTGATCCATGGATTTGAAGTATTGCACGGGTGGATCTATCTTTCCACCAGCTCTCCACCACTTCTCCTCACTTCTCCCACCCATTTTTTCTCTACGCCTTTAAACTCGTGAGATCAGATTTGTCTCAGATTCCGGTTGTCGGACATCCTCTCCGATGCAACCAACGTCCCCATTTCACCCACTGTCGGTGTCAAAACCGACACACCTCGGGGTAGGGGGTTTGGAGCTGTGGATCTCAGATTGGTGGCAATAGGAACAAGGGTGACGATGTTTACCCAGGTTCATGCCCTCTTGATGGAGGTAAAACCCTATGTCCTGCTCTTGTTTATATTGATGATGATGTATCGAGTACAAGCTTGATCTACCTCGAGATCGTTAGTTGTGTTCTAACCCAAGGGCTAGGTGAATGTAATTGTGATTCGTTCCCTTTTACGGGCTAAACCCTTTGGCTTATATACACACGAGGTAGGGCATCTGGGGTTACATGGTCGGTATCCAGGGGAATCGCATGGAGGCGGTAGGATATGTCTTGGAGTATACGTCAAGTCTTCGACAGATACCGTCTTGATTACGTCCAAGCATGTAGCTTTCAGAGTCCAGCCAACGAAGAGTGGGGCCCATAGGCCCAACCCATGGACTACAGGTCGACTCGATTGGCACCCCTCAGTCCAGGACACCGTCAGTAGCCCCCAAACTGGTCTTCTTTGCTGAGGACGACCTCCTTGATATAAATAACTTCGGATCCGAAGTCTTTGGCTCAACAGACGAGTTCCCCTTCTTTGGCAATTCAAGATTCCTTTCCTTTAATGGTTAATATGGACCACCCCTCAAAGGAGTGGCATTCCCCAAACATGGCCTAACCGAACTCACTCAGCGCCGAAGACGCGAGGTTACTTAACCATGAAGGCCCGCCATATAGGTGTGAACAATGCTTTCTAGCTTTATAACTTTATCAAAATGGCACCACCCATGACTGGATGAGCCGTTACTGCTGAACCGAATCACAGCCCGAGGAAATCTTCTTATTGGCACGTCCCATCGAAATGGAGATCATGCCTGTTTCCTTAGGGATATCATTAATATTCTGTTTTTCCCCGTACGCGTAACGACATCTTTTGCGGGGAGTGGAGATTTCAATGGTGCGTTAGAGGGACTCTTGGCCTTTTATCAGCCTATATAAGAGTAAAGAGGCAGCGACGAAAAAAGCACGCTCTAATTCATCCTCGCCTGCTCGAGCTCAAGCACCCAGATCCAATCTCAACCCCATCTTGCGTAGCATGTCCTAATCTCTGTCCCCAGCAATGGAAGATGCCAATCTTAAGGGGCACTAGACTGCTTCCTCTGTTACGAAGGGCACCATCTTGGAGTTGCGCAGCGCGGGGTACATCCCCACTGGGATCAACACCCGAGTGCTGGACCGAAACAAACGGGTACCTGCTCCCAATCCAGGGAGAGGGTGGTCTTCATTCCCCACCTCATCAAAGGCCTGGGGTTCCCGCCGCACCCCTTCATGTGCGGGGTGGAAGTGCTAGTTATCGACTAGAAAGGAGGGGGTGAATAGGTGATTTTTATGAAAGTCTTCAAAACATGAGGTCTTTTGAAGACAAACAAGTAATTGAACCTATATGGTATGCAGCGGGAGATGAACTACACTAGACATGCCATAGTCAAGTAAGCAATGTAGAGAAAGCACGAAGACTAATAGCAGCTAGGAAGTACGAATCAGAATGGAAGACAGTATGAAGCCAAACAGGTAATAATATTCGCACGGTGAAGTCAAACAGATTAGGTAAGCAAGCAATGACTTCACGAAGACAAACTGAAATGTAAAGAAGGTAGGGGATATAACCAGTAGCTTGGTGAAGACAAGGATTTGGTAGACCAGTTCCAGTTGCTGTGACAACTGTATGTCTGGTTAGGAAGGCTGAGATTGAACTCTGAAGACTACGTATTCACCTTATTCCCCTTGAGCTAAGGACACCCAGTCCTCGCTCAGTCACTCTGGTAATTCTTCAAGGTATACTTCCAAACCTTCATAGACTCCGTTCACTGGCAATCCACAATGACTCTTGGATCCTCATAACGTAATGCCTAACCGGCTGGAGGATGCACAGTCTTCAAGTGGAACAAGTCTTTAGGTCACGCGGACAGAAAGACTTCAGTGATGCCTAACACTCTTTGGCTTTGGGTGTTTTGGGCTTTGTCCTTGCAAGGATCTCTCTCTCTCTCAAAGGCTTCGGAGGTGGGTTGCTCTCAAATGACAAAAGCCGTGCACTAACTCTGAGCAGCCACCAATTTATGGTGTAGGGGGTAGGATATATATATCTAGGAGGTAATCTGACATGATATGTCCAAAATGACCCTGGGTCACTGAGGAACTAACACATCACTGGTACGCGTCAGTGCTATACAAACGGTTTTTAACCCCTTTCTGCGATGGCGTTTGGAACCGTTGCCAAGTGAGTGTGGGCGATATTGGGGTCCTTCCCACACGACCCAGAAACCGTCGGGGATATGCCCTCCTGGCACATACGCTAGGCAAAATGAGGTCGTGTGCGACCGACAAGCGCTCAAATATGGTAATACGTACAATAGAGCTAAAAATACAACTATACATGCGAAATTGTTTTCGGTCACAAGTACATCCCACATAGTCAGTCCCTGCTAAAAGTTTCCGTTCGTCTGTACATCCCACACAGTCGCTCCAAGGAAAACATTTCCGTTCACAGGTACATCACACACAATTTTCCCCGTTCAATCATTTGTGATAGCGTTGCCATTGCACATGATATTAAGAATTTTACCATCTGCGTTATTGAATGCATCACACACGATGCGTAGAACAAACTGTGTGGCAAAGGTTGTCCATCACACAAAAGTTTTAGGTGTTAAACATTTGCTCAAGGTGGTCTAACGCAAATAGTTTTCAAGAAGATGTCGTGTGTGCAGTGTAGATTGATCACATACGTAGTGGATCCTAGAAACGTTTCTGATCTCCACGTCTATCGCAGACGTTTCGCTTTCATAAACCATGCGCAGTGTAATCCATAATTAATCCCTAATTTAAAAATCACATGTTTTGAATTTGAAAGTAGGCAATCACTTATTTCATATCCAACCATGTTTATTACAA